CTTGGTGCAGAAGGGTGAGTTGTCAGGCAAAGCTGTTGCAGCTCTTCGCTAGTCCTTTTCTTTATCCTCCAGCGACTAAGTCTGTCAAGCTGCAGCAAAGGCACTGGACCAAAGAGCTGCCTGGAAGGTGGTTTGGGTTCTACGGACATACATGTAGTCATGGGAGTTTTGGAAGGGGGAAGACTCATGGATAGCCCACTGGAGTCATGCAGAAGAGCTGTTATTGTGCCTCATTGACAAATGTAGTCGCTAGAGGATAGAAAAAGGACTAGCGAAGAGCCGCAACAGCTCTGCCTGACAACTCACCCTTCTACACCAAGGCCTGGACCAGATTTTTTTTACTATGTTCACATACCCAACTCATAAATAATACAGAAAGACAATGGTACTGAGACATAGACAAACGTGACAACTACTGAGAAGGGGCTGCACCGAGATGCAGCAGTGATGGTGGGGCGGCATTGATGGCTCTGCCGACCTGAGGTCTCGGCATCACGGCCAGAAACACGCACCAAAAACAAAAGATAGAGCTGTAAGGGTCAGCAAAAATTAAAAAGAAAGCAAGGGCAAACAACAGCTAGCACTAGTGTGCAGCGCATTCGTAGCAATGGGAGTCATTGACGGGGCACTAGAATGTAGGTAGGTCGACAGGCAGAATGTCCGTGGACCATCGCCAATCCTGTCGGCGGAGGTATTCGTTGACGTTGCACTTAAACTTTTGAAGATTTTTGCGAGTTGGGGCGGAGTCTAGAAAAGCTGGTGGCAGGGAATTCCACAGCTGGAATGCACAATGTGGGAAGCTGCGGAGAATGGTGTCTGGTGCTTGCTGCGGTAGGGGATTTCGTAGCTGGTAACTGTGGCCGGCGGCCATGCGGAGATCGTTTCGAGTGCAAGTGGCGTCACGGGGCTCAAGCCTAGGTGGGAGGACTGCTAGCAATTGAGTCGGACCGGTGATGAAATGCAGTTTGTACGTGTATGTTAATGCAGCAACGTATCGCCGTAGGCTGAGGCTCTGGAGCTCCGTTCCGGGACCAATGATGCGCAATGCACGGCGTTTGTTGTTGTATACTTTATTTATAGTGGAAATCAAAACAGGCAAAATGCCTAATAACATTGGACCCACTGTGAATAACATGTTAAAGGATATTGTGGAAAAGTAGATACAAGAGAAAAAGAGAAAGGAAAGAAAAAAAAAGGAAGGTTGGTTGCAACGAACAGATATCAATCCAGTGAGCATTGGAAAGCCTATGTCGCTGATAATATAATTATTAGGGCTGAAACGATCATTCAATAACTCCTAACGATCAACCAATATCATTTTAACGATCGATATATTGGTTTTATCGATTCTTGTCAGCTCTATCGAACACCAGTTTATGAAGAAATTCTATGATACCTTTGCTACGTTAGAAATTTGTGGCACCGCACTGTTGACATCTGTAGATATCTGGCTCGTTTTGTCAACACGAACTACTCAAGTAGAGAGCTTCATGTTGTTTCTAGAGCGAAGAATCTTGTCGTCACTCTCTGGCAACTGCTCTCATCTCCGACTTCTCCCACGAATGAACTGAAAAGGCAACGTCTTCTCTCCCGATCTCTTTCAAAGACACAAATCAATTTTACTGCACTTGAAAGTACATGATTGTACTCGTATTCACTATCGGATGGAGTGCAAGGGCTAGAATACTGTCACTAATATGCATGCATAAAAAATCGTTAGCACTCGTTTTGAACACTAACAATTATCGATTGCACTCTTAACGATCGATATGCGAGTTATCGGTATAATTGTTTCAGCCCTAATAATTATACTGCAAGGCTTGAGATTAAAATCCAAATACCTATTTGAACATCTTGCTGCTGGTGGCAATCTATTCCACATAATGGCTCCAGCGTGCGTTAGGCGCTTAGCAGAACGAGCAGTGCTAGCAGGTGGGACCACAAGCAAGTTGCTTTGGCCTCCCCGAGTGCGAGTTGAGGGCACGACAGCAAAAAAGGACTGATACATGCATCATGTAAACATCGCCAGATGAAACAAAACATATTCAAGTGCACAGAAACCTGTAGATCACATACATGCATTTGATTTAGCAGGGGAGCAGTACTGGTCCACGGTGGCGACTTGCAGACTGCCCGAGCGGCACGTTTGAACAGCCTATGTAGCCGTTGTTCCTGGGCAACTGTCAAATACGGGTAGTAACTAATAGAAGTATACAAAAATTCAGGCAAAATGATAGATCTGAAGTAGGTGAGTAGGCATGGATATGGCAGCGAGGAAGCATGTCGCAGCAGGACAGCAATTTTGCCGGCAACACGACGAGCAACATGGTCCACCATTGTGGTCCAACTCATGTCCGAGTCAAAATGCAGGCCAAGGTATTTGGCAGATGTGACTACTGGTGGGACTTGTGAATTGCATACAATATTGATGTCCAGGGCTGCAGCTCTATGGTGTGGTATGGCGAGTATCTGCGTCTTGGTCTCGTTAAGGATCTGTCCACATTTCTTCAACCAATTGGCCAGGTACTGAACTGCTGCAGTGAAGCGCTGGGAGACAACTTCTGGCTGTGGACTGCTCGCACGCAGCGAGATGTCATCAGCAAACTGAATAGTGGTGACGTCATGAGGGGCAAGGTCGCCGGCAATATCCTTCACATACAGAACAAAGAGCAAAGGTCCGAGAACTGACCCTTGAGGAACCCCTGACTGGCTGTCATATGCTGTACTTCTGGTTTTTCCTGTCTCCACGTATTGCCGGCGAATCGGCGATACATCAAGTAGTCTGAAAACCATTGCAAAGCAGTGCTAGTGAGACCCAGTTCAAAGAGGTCCTCAACCAGAATGCTATGCTTTACCTTGTCGAAGGCTTTCGATATGTCGACAAATGCTACTCCTGTGTGCTGCCCGGCGGCTTGTGCTTCATTGATGTTCTCTACAGCTCGCGCTAAGGCATCTGCTGTGGAATGCTGGTGTCTGTAACCAAACTGACTAGTAGGCAAGAAATTGTTCGTGTTGAGGTACTGCAGAAGCTGCTTATGAGCAATACTCTGCCCAGCGTATGGGGTCTACCCCGCGTGGGGGCATTCAGAGCCGCCAACAACTCGTGGTGTTCTTTCTCCCGACGACGGCTGTCCTCGACCATTTGTTCCAGAAACTCCTGCATCCATGCAGGGCTGTCCGGTTCCTCCCAGCTCTCCTTTGCTGGTGAGGCCGCCGCAGCAGAATGATTTTTGCTTGTGTCCCATTATTTATAGACTGTTCATTGCGCCATGTTATGTTCATTCAAGCTCACATCAACAAACGACATTGGAGAGATCAAACTTGAGTTGTCACCAAGGAAACAAAAGCAAAACTGATGATCCGTCATCACCAAAACGGCCATCCAACTCCAACCCAGATCTAGAACAGGTACGGTGGAGATTCTCCCAAAGCAATCCCCACACATGACCTGATACAGAATGATATTGTACACATACATCACAGCGGGAGAGAGAGAGAGAGAGAGTGTGTGTGTGTGGGGGGGGGGGGGGGTGTTCGATGTTCGCTAGTGTCTGAAATGTGAGCATGTTTCGGTGGGCGCGCGTGATGTTCTACAGCTAAGGAGACCTATGGTTTTTTCTATGTTCTCTCTGTGTTCACTGCTTCAGATGATGATGAATGTGGCAGAGGCACTTACAGGTGTTCCAATAACGCCACCTGTGCAAATACAGAAGGCAATGGAACGGTTTGTAGTAAGTGCACTTTCACGAATTGTGGCAGTTTTTCCCCCATACAAAAGCACATGCGCTTATAGGCGAGTTTCTTTGTCATATTTGCTAGCAGTTGCAGGTTGATTGCGCTGACATATAGCCCGGCGGCACAAGCGCTTGTACATGTGCTCGTGTTACCAGTATGATTATAACGCAAAGTCCACTGCAAACGCCCACCCCATTTTTGCAAGATCTGCTGGCCTGTACACACTGACCCCATGCACTGTCACTAGGCATCAGCGGGTAATGCTAGCATTAAAACTAGCATAGTGTTTGCGGGTAATGCTAGCATTAAAACTAGCATAGTGTTCGTAGAGGGGGCATTGCCCCGGCATAATGAGGCATTTTTTGGAGAAACTAGCATAATGCGCGATTTTCAGCATCTCATGGCCAGAGAGTCGTAAAATACAGTACTCTCTGATCAACCGCAAACTATACCATTGCGTACAACGATGTTGCCTTTGTTCGAGTAGAAGTAGTCTACCAACGATCAATCAATTTTTGGGCGCATATCTTTATACCTACTTTGGAAACAGACATTTTCGCGTAATCTTCTGCGATTATTTTGCTGTATTTGGTCTTTTTGATCATATATTGCTAGCATAAAAGGCCCTGCAGTCCGTTTCAAAAATATACTTCCTGCGCGTCATCGAAATTGTGGCAGTTTGACTTTTGACATAAAACTGGGAATTTACTCACCAGCACTCGTACCAGAGGCAAGGAATTGGACATAGGCGATAGTCATCAGTATAGGATGACGGCAAAGTTTAGGGTTCACGGATTGGCATACTAGCGTCGCCAGCTACATCATGCACGTGACAGGCGCGTGCATATACTGTCCCACATAATCGGTCAGTGCTCAAATCGCATTTTCCCATCAATATCACTCACTTTCAACTCTACGGGATTCATTACGGTTGGCTCAAACTGCCTGAATTTTTGAATCCACACGCACGAAAGGTGTTCCAAGACTTCCACCGTTCGTATTTTTTCAAACGAGTTCCGGGTTTTCCAGTAACTTTGGCCAAAGTTCGGCTAAAAAAACAGGGGGAGCCGTTGCGTTTCCGTAAAATACTGAACGGTAGAAGGATAGCCAAGGTCGAGAGCAAAACAACAAGCCATTATTTGTCAAAATCGAACAAGAAACGGCTCAGCGCATCTATTTTCCGTGCACGCGCGCGCGTACTTTGGCCGACAAGGTGTGGAGAATTTCTGAAGAAGAAGAATAACAAGAGCAGCAGCGCTCGGAACAGCCGTGCTGGATACTTCCAATCCCGACGATGGAGCGTGTTGGCTGTCGTGAGCTGCTGAAACGACCATGACATTTCTTTTTCTTTGTATACCCTACATATCTTGACGTGCCCTAGCTCAGTTTCGGCCTCTTTACAGGAAGAATATTTTCTTCCATGGCATCAGCGGCCAAACAGCAAGAAGAGCAACAGATCGAGATTTGCAGGGCAAACAAAGGATGCGTGCAGCTACATCTAGTCAGGTTCGATGCAGCTGCGCTTTGGCAGAACCTCAGCAGATAAGAAAAGACGACAGAGTGTCTCAGATGGAACTGGATCTTTCGCCAAGACCGCCACCGCCGGCGCCGCCATCATCAAGTCCAGGTCAGAAAAATGCAAAGCCCGAGTGAAGTGAAGCCACTGAAGCCAAGGAAAAATTCAAAAAGTACGCTCTCCGGCTAGAATTCGAGTCGATATTTTTTTACTTCGATAGGCGCTGTCGCGGCCTGTAGCGCGCGTCCATAATCCAAAATGGAGGCGCACGTGACGGGTGCTTTTAGTGGCAAGCCGTGAACCCTAAAGTTCTATTGTCTGTTATTGGAAGCTGAGATCTTTGAACTAGACGCGATTTCTTCGCTGATGTCGCTGCGATGGTAATTTCGACTCGTTGAGATCAGTCAGGCGTTGCAGCCCGCACATTTCTCATGCTTATGGCCATTCACTCAAGCCTCATCACTGTTTTACCTTAGCTGGGGTGAGAATGACTTCGTGGAACAAGTAGCAGCGCTTGGAGAAACATCAAGGGGTCAGCAAACTAAATGTATGCAACAGCGATAAAATTCATCGTTGTCGCTCTGGCTGAGACACTCAGTACATGATTGTACCTGCAAGAGCCGTGTAGACTCTACACGTAGTGCTAGTGATGCACGCGCAGATGCCGTACCAGTGATGCAGAAAAAGAGGGCGCGCTGGACGTGACAGTACACTTACCTGCATGATCTGTGACCACACAGCTAAAATAAATGGGCATGCCACGGCTAAAAAAAGTTCATTTCAAGATCGAGGTGATTCCGCCGATGGTAATCAACCTCGCAACGATCGTGTATTCTTACTTCGTTGGTGGTGAAGTAGAAATCATCCAGAGCTAGCAGACGACAAGCATAGCAGGTCTTGTCCTGTTGAGAAAGTCAAAGCGTTTGAGATGAGGCGCGACCAACTTGCAACCTTCCTTGAATTATTTTGGAGCGATATTTTTGCGTCCATTGACATCAACGACGACGAGGCCTTCATCTCTGCGTGAAATTTCTCAGTCCAACTGTCCTGAAACGTTACTCTAGCCTTCAGACTATCATACTGTGTAATAAGTTTTGAATGGTTTAGCTTATGGCGTTGTCAGTAACAAGTGACAAGTCACTAGTCAAACTGCGACAATTTCGATGACGCGGAGGAAGTAGACGCGTACCTAGGCAAAAACCGCTAGGCCAGCATCTATACCACATAAACTTCTGTGATCACTTTGTGCAAAAAAATTCTAAATTGGGCGTTTGCTATCCGATCGCTTAAAAGCTATATGAGAGTAATTGTGAGGCGATCCTGAGCAATATTCCGAAAAAATCTCAAAAAGCTCCAGCCAAATTTGAACTATTTCAAAAACCCAGCGCGTCTATATTTTTGAAATGGCCTGTAAACTAGCATAAAAATCATTAAAACGAGCATAATATCCTGTTTTTGCTGGCATTCTGAAAAGCATAATCGGCTGAGTTTACTAGCATTACCCGCTGATGCCTAACTGTCACCCCTACTGTACCAAAGTGCATCTCACACCGTAGCGCGAAGAGCGGATTGCTAAGGTAAAATTTGTCCACTTTCCTGGTATCAAAATAATTCTAGTAAAATATAATAATAAAATAACGAGAGAGATTGGAAGCTCAGGGCCCTACGCTATCCTTTTTTGCCTTGATGACCTAGACAAAAAAAGCATAGGGATGTTATAAATTCTTATTCCCGTAGCTATGCAGAAGACGTTACTTCAGTAACGTCTGGCGCTAGCCAGGGTCCACACAGCTTTAATTTGGTATTTGTGTGTTTGTGTGTTTGTTTGTTTGTGTCACGTCTGGCGCTATCCCGTATCTGTCCCGTACTGTACCGTACCAGCAAAGACAGCTGGCCACAATATTTTTGTTTGTTTGAGCCATCGACATGCCTGGCGCTATCCCGTACCTGTCCCGTACCATCAAGAGTACGGTACCAACAAGAGAATGAGTATATATGCGAAGTGTATCGGGGGAATGCATTCAGTGCAGTAACATTTTGTGTGGATTTGTGTGCGAGGCCGAGATCCCACTAGCAGGCTGGCTGGACCGCCTGTCGACCAGCCCGGGAATCGCATGTAGGCGGATAGCATAATAATTATAACGTTTATACAGTCATGTAGATGTATAGCAGGGAGTCATTTTATGTAAACGACTCCCTGCTGTATGGGGAGATTTTCTGGAAAGAAATACAAAGTAGGGAGACGAGTAAATGCAATCAGAATGGATGTTAGTTGCCCACAGTATAATAATAAGAAGAAGATAAACTCCCGTGATCGGCAGAGTCAGCGCCGGTCACAGGAAACGTCAGGACAGAAATCCCGTCGACTCCAGAACGCCCGTGATCGGCAGAGTCAGCGCCGGTCCGATAGCTATGCAGAAGACGTTACTTCAGTATCTCATTGAAACGTTTTTGCAATACAATGATGTAGCTAATCAAAGGAAAAAGCATTTCTATCAGTTCTAGCAACATGCACGAGGAGCTAGGCAACAAAACATAGCGCAGGGCCCTGAGCTTCCGAGCTCTCTCGTAAGTTTCTACTTTTTGTTTTTAGACATAAACCTGGGATTCGAACCCGCACTATCGCCCTGCATGCATCCCCTGATACACTTCGCATACATACTAATTCTTCCAAGTTGCTTCACGTTATCATCTTGTATTTGAAAGCCCTATTTGAATATGCATTGTGGCCAGCCATCTTTGATTGTACGGTACGGTACGGGATAGGTACGGGACAGGTACGGGACTGGTACGGGACTGGTACGAGACAGGTACGGGACAGGTACGGTCGAGGGTAATACGAAACCATCTACCGCCTTGATGACGGCAAAAAAAGAAAAGGGATGTTATAAATTTGTCAATTCTCCTATTTTTTTCAGGCATTACCTGGGATTCGAACCCGCACTATCGCCCTACATGCATTCCCCCATACACATCGCATTCATACTCATTCTTCCAAGTTGCTTCACGTTATGATCTTGCGTTTGAAAGCCCTATTTGAATATTGCGGCCTGCTGTATGTGGCCAGCTGTGTTTGATGGTACGGTACGGTACAGGACAGATACGGGATAGCGCCAGGCGTGACACAAACACACAAACACCAATTTAAGGCTGTGTGGACCCTGGCTAGCGCCAGACGTTACTGAAGTAACATCTTCTGCATAGCTACGGGAATAAACGGCATTATGCAGCTGTGCGAGCTGTAGATGCAAAGTGTGACTGCCCGGCATCTCTGTCAGATGCCAACTGGCAATTCTCATGCAGAGACATACCAGTCCACGAAACGATATTGTCAGCAAAGGAAATCTTCGGACGATCACGCTTTCTCTTACCATCCACGACACCAAACATCACGTCACGTACAAGCTCGCAGCCAGATGGGCGACATGTGTGCCCGAAATAGGTCAGTTTGCGTATCTTGACCCTGGCTAGCAGCTGTCT